ACATTTTAAACATTAATTTTTACTTTTAATAATATCAGCAAAACCAATATTTTTAATCATATCAATATTTATTCAATTATATTGCCAGTCCTAAGACTGAAAAATGAGAAGGAAAATATTGATTTTGCAAAAAAAGCCTTAGACATAATTTACATATGGATAAATGATAAAAAAATATTTAGGTAGGCATATAAAATACATATAAATACATATAAAATTGGCCGCAATTTACATATGTACAAAATACACTCGGGCCGCAATTTACGTATGTACAAAATATGTCCGGGCCGCAATTTACATACAAAATTATAAATGGGTCGCAATTTACAGCGACCCCTATTCGTGATCTTTGTGGTTTTATTGTTCGATTTTATTTAAAAGCTTGGTTTAGCTGTACCGCACCAGCTAGAGCACCAGTTAATGATTTAAATTTTGTTAAATTTTTAAAACTATATGAAAATGAACATTCTAATATTTCAAAAGCCGCTATAAAAAAAATTAGTAATCATTTATGGTACTTAACAAAAGAGACTGCAGCATTAGCTTTCTTTGATGACACATTATCAAACGAAATCAAAAGATTAATGGTACAGTCACTTAACAACGATAGAATTATCGAACCAACTAAGCGTCTTATTGTTTCATTTCAAGATCTTGGCGAAACTTTTTCAGGTATATTACTGTCGTTTTTGTTATTTAGTTATTACATAAGTTGTAAGGTTATTAATAGAAAAATAATAATTTTTTCTAGAAAAAACACTGGCCTCTTTTATATCTAAGAACAGTATGCAATTTTTTTCTCGATTTGGTATTAATACAGACTTTCTTAATGATGATCCGAGCACATGGGACAGTAATATTAATTATTTACACGGGAAAGAAATTGTATACTCCCTAAAAGTAGTAAATGATACAGCGGAAAGAGCAGTTAAACTTATGGAAGATTTTCACGAAAGTTTAACCAAAGATGACAAGAAGTTGCTATTACAATGTATACAAGAACACAGAAGACTATATCCTGATTGTAAAAAGGAAACATTAAAAAAACAATTTTAATTAATACATATTCGTAATAAAATTTTGAGCAAATAGTATTTTCTTACATAAAACTCAATATATCATGTAAATTATAATAAATAAGAAGAAATATATAGGAACATAATTTATTCAAAATGTTATTTTATTCAAAACATATAATACAACAAATTTCAATTTTCCCACTTTTAAATGAGATATACATAAGAATGTAAAATATAACATAAAATGACGAATATATTAATATACTCAAATTTCAAATTTGAGTCGGCACGGGTTAACCTTAATAGATTGACTTGAAACTCTTTGTAGTTCATTTTTTTATGCATATTCACAAATTTAGGGGGCGAGACTAACAAAAATGCAAAAAAAAAAAAAATGTATAGTTAAATAAGGGACACCCTAATGAGTAATATTAATAAGGTAACAATAAGGTATTAGAGATCTAGTTCTAATTCTTCCAGCCATTTAATAAATGTGGAAGAGGTTGTGAGGCAGTCGATTCTGGGACCTCGATAGGCGTAGATAGGACATACAAAAGCTATGTGGTAGATGGTCTGCTTTTCTGCTCCACAGTCACAATCTGGTGAGTTTCTCATGCCCCATTTATGTAAGCAATCTGCACATCTACCGTGTGAAGTTCGTATTCAGTTAAGTGTACACCAGGGGTGGCCAACCTTTTTTTATATTGTGCCAAATAATGTATACAAAATTGAGAATGTGCCTTAAAAAATATTTATTTCTTTACGGTTTACAATGTTTACATAAATATAGATTTTAGATTTTTTTCATAGGTACTATTTTTATTACAATTCAATTGCAATGTTTTTTTTAATGATTAGGTGTGTTGAATTTATAGCAATATTATTTATATTACTTAATATAATAATATAATGTAATAATAATAATATCATCATCAATAATATAATAACACCTATGTATAAAAATTTAATAATAGATTAAAATTAATATAATGTTTTAACAGATAATGAGAAATTGCATGGGCGTCCCCAGGGGGAGGGGCACGACGGGGCACTTGCCCCCCCCCCTGGAATGTTATTATCTTATATATAAAATTATCGTGTCACAATGTTCGTTCCCATACTCCTCCGAGACGGCTTGATCGATTCTCATGAAATTTTATATGCATATTCAGTAGGTCTGAGAATCGGCTACTATCTAAGTTTGTATGCTCTGCGATAAGTGGTTCTGGAGTTATGGCCTCTTAAGTCAAAGTATAGCACGCACGATAATCAACAATTATTATTTTGCCATGGAGAGATAATATACACTCTATGTGGTTATTTTTTATTATTGGTTTCCGTGGCACCCG